AGTAACAACAAAGTCTCCAATGGAGACGTTACTGGGCCCGCTCGAGCAAATCAATGAACAATGGGAGGACAGTGACAGTGACAGTATTTCTTTTTAGCTTTTTGGTCACACCTGACTATGTTCAGGAGGTATTCCTGGCTCTGCACTCAGAAAATACTCCTGGTGGTGCTCGGGGGACCATATGAAATTCTGGGAATCAAATCTGGGTTGGCGGTGTGCAAGGCAAATGCCCTCCCCACTTCATGATGGCTCCGGCCTCTAGACATATTTTCTGACTGATCTCTGAATTTCTGTGTGTAATGATGCATGTGGTGAGTTAGATCCCATGATTACCGAAAGGATTCTTGGATTTGTCTCCAAGCTCTGCCAACAGCAGTGTAAAGAAGGCAGACTGTTTGCTTAAACAGGGCAGATTGTTTGTTGGAATGATGACCATTTTGTTGAGAGTGAAACAATATTTATATTTATATGAAGGTAAAAGGGAACAGAAAGGTTCATCTATTCAAGTTAAAAGCCAAGAGAACACCTGTTTCTTGTAAAGAAAGTTTTATTGGCACACAGCCTTGCCCACTCCCCTGTGTTTGGTTACCTTCGCTCCAAGGCAGTTGGGACAGTTGTTAGGGACAAGATGACAACAGAAAGCATAAAACATTTACTCTCTGTTCCTTTGCAAAAGAAGTTTGCCAATCCACTTTTGTTATACTTATATTCAATAATTAGTTATTACAATGATCCCAATAACCTTTATTTGAAGACTTTTTAAAAAATACATAACAAATACAAGAGCAGCAATAGAAATTTTCCATTATTCTACAACTTCGAAGTAATTAGTATAACAGTGATTACAATTCTACATAAGATAACGTTGATTTAATTTATGGGAATAAATATAAATTATAAGTATTGTTATAACAATCCTTATTATTTTTATTATAGCACTGTTATTTACACAGTTGTTCATAATACAATTATTTCAGATATTCAATGTTCCAACATTTGTCCCCCACCAGTGTGAACTCTTCACCAATGTTTTCAGTTTCCTACCCACCTACCAAACTTACCCCCTTAGGAGACACAAATTTACTTCATATTCCTTGTTATAACAAAATGGTAAATGGAATTATCAAAACATCGATCAATAAAAGATTACTTTATTTTATTTTTTAAATTTTTTTTTGTTTTGGGTCACACAGGTGTTACTCCTGGCTCATGCACTCAGGAATTACTTCTGGTGGTGCTCGGAGGACCATATGGGATGCTGGGAATCGAACCCTGGTCAGCAGCATGCAAGGCTAATGCCCTATCCGCCATGCTATCGCTCCAGCCCCAGTAAAAGATTATTTTAGATCATTTTAATATGTCACAATGGTGTTACTAAAGTCATCATCAGAAAATTCACTGAGCTGATGGTGCTAGATGATCCTTTTGTGTTATTATTTTCATTGATTGACATTAGTGGGCTTCTTTGCAAATTTCCCATCAAATTTGCTGTGCCCTTACTGGGCTGTCAGTACTATGAAATTCGATTGGGGTTCAGTCATACAATGTTTCAACACCTGTCCCTTCACCAGTGTACCATTTTTCACTACCAATGTCCCCACCGCCCTGACCCCATACTGTCTTCCTTTATGGCAGGCACGTTTCCTCCTCGTCCTACTCCTCCTTCTCCTCCTCTTCCTCTCTCTCTCTCTCTCTCTCTCTCTCTCTCTCTCTCTTTCTTTCTCTCTCTCTCAGTGTCTTTGTCTCTCCGTCTCTGTATCTCTCTCTTCCTCCACCACCCCCTCATTTTGGGCACTATAGTTTGCAATACAGATAATGAAAGGCCATCATGTCTATCTCTTTACCTACTGTCAAACCTCAGTTCTTGTCCATAGTGATAATTTCCAACTATTATCATCATATTGGTCCCTTCTCTATCCTAATACTTGGAGCAAACTTCCAACCATTGACAAGTCCTCTTGGCTCCTATTTTCCCCGACCTTGGATATTAGTCCCATAATTTTTTTTGCTTTTTTTGGCGGGGGGGGGTCACACCCAGCGATGCACAGGGGTTACTCCTGGCTCTGCACTGAGGAGTTACTCCTGGCGGTGCTCAGGGGACCATATGGGATGCTGGGAATCAAACCCGGGTAGACTGCGTGCAAGGCAAACGCCCTATCCGCTGTGCTATCTCTCCAGCCCCCATAATATTTTTTATATACCACAAATGAATGCTAGTTGTTCATGGTGTATGATCTTTTTGATGAATCACTGGATTCTATTTGCTAGCATTTTGTTGAGTATCTTTGCATTTGTGTTCATCGGGATATCAGCCTGTAATTCTTTTTGTTGTGGTGCCTCTGTCTGCTTTTGATATCAGGATGATATTTGTTCCTAGAAATAGTTTGGAAGTGTTTCTGTTTCTTTAATTTGCTGGAAAAGTCTGAAAATATTGGGAATAGTTCCTCTTTAAAGGTTTGGAAGAATTAACTACTGAATCCATCTGGGTCTGGGCCTTTGTTTTTCTATTTACTTGATATTGATAGATCTGTTAAGGTATTTCAAATCTTCATGTTCAGTTTGGGCTTCCTGTGTTGGTCTTTTTCTAAGATGTTAAGCTGTGAAGTCAAGTTGTTTATGTAGCCCTTTTCTTTCTTCCTGATGAAAGCTTGCAGAACTGTAAACTTTCCCCTTAACACTGCTTTAGCCATGTCCCACAAGTTCTGGTAACTCATGACCTCATTTTTGTTTTTTTCTAGAAATCTGATTTCATCTTTGATTTTGTTTTGGGGAATACTTTTGATTATCAATTTTTTTGATAGTAATAGATATGTTCAGGCATTCCAAATTTTCTTCTTCAGTCTTGGAAAATTATGAGGATCCATTATATTATCCATTTCTTCTACGTTCCCTTGTTTCAGAGCATTCAGATTCACAAAGTAATCTCTGATGAACTTTTGAATTTCTGTGGTTTCTGTTGTGATGTCCCTCCTTATATTTATAATCAGGTTTATTAGGGTTCTTTCTTGCTCTTTTTTTGTGACTCTTGCTAGTGATTTATCAATATTCTTTATTTCCCCCAAAGAACCAGCTCGTTGTTTCATTGATCTTTTGGATAATTTTCTAGGATTCTAGTTCATTAATTTCTGCTCTAAGTTTTGTGATTTCATTCCTTCTGCCTGGTTTGGGCTCCTTTTGTTGGTCTTTTTCTAAGATCTTAAGCTGTGTAGTCAAGTTGTTCATGTGGGCCATTTCTTCCTTCCTAATGAAAGCTTGAGGAACTGTAAACTTTCCCCTTAATACCGCTTTAGCTGTGTCCCATATGTTCTGGTAACTCATGACCTCATTCTTGTTTATTTCTAGAAATCTGATTTCCTCTTGAACCCACTGATTGATCATAGTGAAGTGTTTAATTTTCAGGTTTTTTATTTGATTCTCTGTTTCTGTGTGCAATTAACTTCTATTTTCAGTGCATCACGATCTGAAGATAGTTGATACAGAACTATGAAATTTGGAGGCGATGAACTCCAGGAGCTGTGGAGCTGCTAGTGTTAGTGGTTTGCTGACTTGATGAAGATCAGTTATAGATCCGGGCTGTTTTTATGCCAGAGAATGTTGGATGTGGGAAGGAGCTGGGACTTCCAGTTGGGATAGGGGTGAAAGGAATGAACCCTAACTGATACTGAGATTCAAAGTTCTCAGCCCAGAGACAGGTTCACCTGAAATAATTCTATATTATATTTCTGGTGTTCTATTTCCCCATGTTCAGATTGGAACCTGAGGCCTTCTAGTTTTGTGAGCACTTTCCTGTGAGAGCACGACTGAATCCAAGCTCAGTACTGGGACAGGTTTGTCCTGGTGATCCATCAGGTTGCATCATGGAACAGAGTCTCCGTGAGTGTTCACGAAGGAACGAGAACCGGAGTTAGACATTGCACACCTGTGGGAGGAACTGGGCAAGTCAAGGTCTGGAGGAAGAGGGACTGGGAAAGGCCCAGGGCAGAGGGTTGGTCGGGGCTACTCAGGAGCCCTTCCCCAAGCATGAGCTGTCACCAGAGTGGCTGGCTGGAGGGGGCGCTGTGGAGAGGCTGCTGCTAAGCACCTGTGGCTGGTGTGCAATGTTGAGGCCTGGGGATGGATGAGGTGTGTAAGATGGTGTCCCTTCCGGTGGTCTGGGGGTGCTGGTCTCCTGTGTCTGAGACAGAATGGTCAGGGTAGGGGCTGGGGCATAGGCAGGGAGAAGATGGAAGTTTCTCAGCTGAGCTCCGAGATTTGGCTGAGGGCCTGGCTGAGTGCTGGGAGGCACAGGACAGGACAAGGCAGGACCAGACAGGACAGGACAGGATAGGAGAGGGTTGATAGGGGTGGGTCAGAGCAGGAGGGTGGAGACGGGTCCCTCTGGGATAAACAGCACTGCCGGAGCACTTCAGCAGTCTCCGACCTGTACAGCCGGAAGTTCCTTGTCTCTGCTCTGCTCGGGGACAGTAAGTGCAGGGACTGGACAGGTTTGGGCAGTGGGCATGCGGGAGGGACAGAGAAGGCCAAACAGAGGATGAAGGTCCTGGGCTTGAGGTCCTGGGAGGGTCCAGGGATGGGCCAGTGTTCTGGGATTTGCAGAGACATGAAGCTTTAGGTGTGGACCGGCCAAGCAGGAAAACTCTTCAGCGGGAGGAGAGGCCCCTGCACAAGCTGCTGAGGTGAGCCCCTCTCCGTGCCTGGGCCAGACCCTCAGTGCGGGCCCTGCTGGTCGTTGTGATGATACCCTCTGTCTGCTGCGCCCTTGGGGAGCAGCTCTTTGGCGCCAGTGGGGCAACCAACACTGCTGATGTGGGGCTCGGCATCAGGCACCCTCAACAGGACACTCCAGATCTATATACGGGTCAGCCCAGGGAGTTTGAATATGGGAGCAGACAGATTCTGGGAACTTTAGAGCTCGGGAACCCCAACTCAGCTGTGCCCTGTGCCTCTGACCATCAGGAAACCCTGAGAGATGCTTTGCCTTCCAGGCTGAGGGAAGAGGCATGTCTGTCCGGCTGGCTCTGCTCCTGGGGGCTGTGCTCTCTCTCCATGCCTTCTTCAGCATTTCAGACTCCACAGAGCTAAGAGTGAAGAGCCTGAGGAAGAAAAGAAGCCGCCCTCTGGACACCTTCAGTCTGGTCCGCAGCAACGCGGACTTTGCTGTCAGACTCTTCAAGCTCTTGGGTAATCAGTATCCCGGAACCAATATCATCTTCTCCCCATTCAGCGTGACCATGGCCTTGGACTTCCTGGCACGGGGGGCCCACGGCCCCACCCGTACAGAGATCCTACAGGGCCTCAAGTTCAACGTGACCAAAACCCCTGAGGCCGATATCCACTGGGTCTTCCAGAAGTTACTGACAAATCTAAGCAATCCCGGGATGCCGTTGCAGTTGGACGTGAACATGGCCATATTGCTGGACCAGAAGGTGAACCTGAAAGAGAACTTCAAGAAGGAGGCCCAGTTGTTGCACTCCGCTGACATTGTCTCCACCAACTTCCATGATCCCGCTGCCGCTGGGAAGCGCATCAGTGACTATGTGAAGGAGAAAACCCATGGGAAAATCAAACCGGTGGTCAAGGACCTGAAAACAGATACCAAGATGGTCTTGGTGGACTCCTTCCTCTTCAAAGGTGAGGTCATGCGTGTGGGAGGGAAATGGGTGTGAACGGTGAGTCTTCAGGCTGCTTCTGCCCTGCGCAGCCTGCTGTGGCCCCAGGAGCCTGTGCCGAGGTTCGGCCCCCACTTGGAGACCAGGGACTGAGCAAGAGGCCAGCGTGGACCCGGAAGGGTCCCCACCTTGGGGTGGGGACTGGAGGTGGGTCTCGGAGCACCCACAGCTGATGGAGCCCGGAGGCAGGGCAGGGTCTGAGTAAGGACAGCAGAGTGGTCATGCAGAGAAAAGGACAGAAGAGGACAGAGAACAGGGTTCCTAACCAGGGACTGGGCAACCGAGGGACAGAAACAGGTGGACGGGCTCGAACGCTGTGGCCCGCGGGTCTCAGTCAGCTCTCAGTTCTGTGTTAGGGGTAGTTATGCTGGCCTGGGGTCCAGAAATATCAGCTTTGGGTGCTGGGCCACAGACGGTCCTCATACCCGACCCTGTGCATAGGGGTATTTGGGACCAGACTCCCTTACAAAGCTGGGTGTTGCCTCACAGGGCCCAAGGGCAGAAGTCAGTTCCACCTGGTCAGTAGTCAGCTTCTCCAGGCCCAGTTCCCAGCCTGCCTGCCTGCACAGGTCCCCTGTGCCCTGTCATGTGTCCCTGAGCTCTGCCTCTGCCCACTCATGTCTCTTCTCCCTTGCCCACGTGTGATTTCCTATCTGCCAGTTCTGTTGAGCTCATCCCCTTCCTCCTCCTACACCAGTCCCTACTCAAGTCATTTAGGTGGACAGAAGACTTGGGTTTCCAGAGGGTTATTCCTGTGTCCCCATTCTATCATGACGTGACAGCCCATTGTTCAGTCTAGGGCTCACAGGGTCCCATTCTCCCTGGCTGTGACTGCTCCCAGCAACAAGGTTCCTCCCTTTCTCTGACCCCTATCTCCTTGTTTTCCAAAGTTCCATTGGTTCTCATTCAGCATATCAGTCATCTCTTGGCGACCTTGTCTACCCTTCTACATTTGTGGGGTCTCCCCATTCTTAAGATGCTTTACAAACCAACCTGGACACCCCCATTCTGGAATGGGCTGAGGGTGTCTCGGGACTCAGAGATCCTGGGCAGAGCACGAAGGACCGGCCACCTAGACCAACCTCTCCACCATTCCCTCTGCCTCTAGCCAAGTGGGAGACGCCCTTTCCCTCTGGTTTCGACTTCACTTCAACTTTCTTCTGGATCCCGGGCATCTGGGTGAATGTACCCGGTATGAGAATTGAGAACAAGTTGACACTCTACTTCTGGGATAATAAGCACTATATCAATGTTGTGAAGCTCCCATACATGGATGGCCGCGCCAGCATGTTGCTCATCCTCCCTAACGTTGGCCGCATGCCCATACTGGAGGCTGAACTGAACGCAGAAATGATCTATTTCTGGAGAAAATCGGTGAAGCCAAGGTATTGCACCCCATCTTTGCCGGGCCCATTTACACAGTCCTCATCTCCCATTCTCATCCCCAAGGACCCCCAACTCCGGAGCAGCAACAGATAACTGGGGGGATCAACTAGGCTTGGGGCTCCCTGGCACTGGGGTCTTTATCATTCTGGGGTGCCAAGGGGACCAAGGACCAGCTGCCTCTGAGAGGAGCACATACAGAATGTGGGGAGATGATTGGCCATCAAGCTAGCACTAACTTTCCTCTCTCCACAAACCCCAAAACCCCACACCTGCAGCGCAATGCCAGGCAAGGGACCCCACAGAGGTGATGAACAGAGACAACTGGATATAGACAGGCCTGCAACAGCTTTGCCCTGGCTCACGATGAATCACTCATTCATTCATTCATTCATCCACTCTTCACTCATTCATTGACTCATCCACCAACTCATTCATTCATTCAATGATTCATTTACTCTTTTTTTCACTCACATGACCATTCACTGGCTCACTCATTCACTTACTAACTCATTCTACCACTCATCTAATCACTCATTCATGCCTTTGTTTTTTGCTGCCTGCCTCATTTAATGACTCACAGGATCAGTCACTCGTGCACTCAGCAGCATGGGGGATGATAACTGAGCACCGCCGGGTCCCAGCCTCCAACCGCTACTTGAGCGGAGCCTGCACAGCTCAGTCTGCTTTTGCTCCTAGGAGGATGACCCTGTGCGTGCCCAAGCTCTCCATCTCCAGGAGCTACAACCTGGAGAAACTCCTGCCCATGCTGGGCATCACGAAGATCTTCTCCCAGAAGGCGGATTTCTCAGGCCTCACCACTGACAGGAACCTGAGACTTTCCCAGGTGAGCTGAAGCTGTGGACCTGCCATCTCTGAGGAAGACACGGTGCGGGCAGCCAGTTGCCCGGAAGGGACCCTGAGTCAGTCATAGTTGTGTCCCCCCTGGCATCTTTGTGCCCCCAGACTCCTGGGAGTGTTGTGTTGTGTGATTTGTGGTCCCAGTCTGCTGTGCAAAGTGAGTAGGGACCCACATTGTCCTGCCCAGGGGTCACCCAGGCTCTCCAACTTCTGCTGGCATACCAGAGAGTGGGGGATCGGTTATGGTCATGGCCCAGCAGGGTCCAGCAGGGAGTAGCTTGAGGGGTAAAGGAATGCCATAGGCTGTGCCGAGATGGCCCTTAGCCTGGGGGACCTCGCACCTTCCCAAAACATGAAAGTTCATTTCTACAAATGTGGTCGCGCTGATCTCGCCTGGGCGCTTGTGGCTGGGGGACAGACAGAGGTCATAAGCATAGCCCAGCTGGCAGCCAGGGCCCTGCAGGAAGCACGAGGCCAGGGCTGTCCACTCTGCTCCAGGTGCTGTGTCAGCAGCTGCCCCAACCACAGGGGCTCCGTCTAGGAACTGAAGAAAAGCGCCAAGTTGCCTCTTCCTTTTCCCAGAGTGCGTTTTGGGGATCTTGGACACTGCCCTGGGCAGAGCAGGACACCAAGGCTCCTCTCCTGCCTCCATACCTGAAATCACTCCTACCCATGGCCAGTTTGACCATCTGTGCTCTGAACTGTGCTGACTGGGCCCTGTGTTGTGGAGGGGTCATGACAGGGGACCTCCCCTCCTAGGTCTAGGATAGCTACCTCTCTACTGGCTCAGGTAGGATGGCTGCCTCCTGCTCATCCTGTCCAGTGGTGACTGCTCTGTGTCCTCCAGGTGATCCATGAAGTCGCATTCAATATGGCTGAGAATGGCACTGAAGAAGATATCTTCCGGCCACAGTCCAAATTTATTATGCTAGATGCATATTACAGTTTGAACTTCTGCAGGCCATTCATGCTGGCCATCATCTCTGAAGAAACACATAACATCCTCTTCCTGGGAAAGGTGCTAAACCCCAAGCAGGCTTGAGCTCCCGCTGAAATAATGGGGATTATCCCAAGAAGCTGGCCCTGCCCAGGACTCTGCACGCTCCGGCCTACCTGGGTCACCTTCCTGGTGTCTATGTCCAGTATGGGGGACTGCATGAGATCAATAAACATCTTCCACACAACACCCAGGATGGACCTTCACCCAGAGTTCCCTGGGAGCCCCTTTATCTACCTCCATGTGCCCCTAACCCTGGATCTCAGCCCTGTTCCTGAGCTCTGGGCCCTCGATGCTCAGAAGCTTCTTCTGGGCTCTAAGATGGTGGCCCATATGCCCAGGAAGTGGGAATCTGGGTCCTGGCTGTGTCCGACCATTCTAGGCTCTTTGTTCTCAATTAGGATCCACTTAGCCCAGGGTTCAGATGTGCACACTGAAACCACTCAGGACCCCTGAGTCAGTGCCATATGTGCAAAGGTCACTCTCAGGCTGCAGCTAAACTGGTGACCACTTCTTGGCCACTGCCTTCCACCCCACTTCCCCATCTGCAGAGAATCATTTCAACCAGGTGCCAGCTGCCTGAGTGTCCCCTCCTTCCTAGTCAAAGACCCATGGACCAGGGAAGGCGGGGGCATCTCGAGAGCAGAAGAGTTGCCTGAGTCTCATGCATGCACCTGCATGCTACCTGGGCACCAGGGATGGTGTTGGCAGCACCTGAGGTGTGATGACAGGCTGAATCCCAACACCTCCTGTGGGCAGGCAGCTGAGATCTTCATGTGCTGTGACCCATTCCACTTGGCCATCACCAAGTGATTTCGTGCTGTGATTAGCACCAGAAAATGGGAGACTGGGAGGTTCAGTGATTTCCCCTCAAGGCCACTGAATTGCGTGTCACAAATTGCCATGTGGGTGAGAACAGGGAAGCCCCGCCAGGCCACCAAGAATTTCCACCAGCACTGGGGAGTCCTATAATTTAGCTCTGGGCTGTCCTACTCACCTGCAGAGGGCCCCAGAGTGCACAGGTTAGAGGTATCTCGCAGCACCACCCAGCGCCCAGATGTTGGTGTGACCCCGATGTTACTGTGCCTCTGACCGAGTGTCTAGGAACTGGTGCTCTATGACCACGCTCCCGCTCCATTAATGTGCCAGAGCAGCTCAGGGGACTCAGGATCAAGTCCTCCTAGGACCCCAAGGGCCTCACCAAGATCAGAAGGTAGGAAGGGCGGCTGGGCAAGGAGCCCAGAGTGTCCCTCTTCTAGGTAAAACCCTGCTGAAAATCCCCGTCTATCCCCTAGCCGGGGAGCGATTGCAGATCTCTGGGATTTGTGTGGGTTTTTTTTTTTACCAGTGTTATGGGGATATCCCTGGGGTGTGGGAGGGGCATCGCCATCTTCTTCCCATTAGACCCCTGAAAACATATGGTGGTCCTCTGGCAATCAGCCCACCATTCCTGCTGCCCTTTGACCCTGCACACACACCAGCCCCTCCCGCCCTCTCAGTGCTTAGGATATTCAGGACTCCTGTGTGTGATGACATGGGCACTGTGGGTTAAAACTGAGGGTGCATGAGCAAGGCGGATTGGTCATCTGCAAGATAAAGTCCACATTCCTGACACATTCCAGCTTGACCCCAGTAATGGCCACAGGCGATCTGTTTCTACCTGCTGACCACGGTGACTCACCTAAAGAGTCTCACATGGATGGTCCATGGGCTACCTGATGGACAAAATAGAGGGAACAAAAATAATGTTTTATGTTTTTGAAGTAGGTAATGAAGGGGCAAAAATAGTAAAGGATGAGAGCAGGCTCTAAAAAATTAAGCAAAGTAAAATTGAGTGTGAAGTCAGGGGAGACTTCCCTAAGGAGGTGCTGTCAGAGGAAGTACAGGGAGGATGGTGGTGAGGGTGACTGCAGGACTAGAGAAGAGAACGTTCTGGCACCAAAGAGTGATGGAGACATTGGCAAGAGGTTGAAGGAATCAGGCAGGTCTGGGTAGGAAGGAGGATTTGCAGACAGGAACGGGCTATGGCTGAGCTCCTATTGCTGAGATCAGGAGCTAGAAAGGTATCTAGAATCTTCCTTCAAGCCATCAGTGTCTCCAAGAATTTTCTGGGTGTTCTTGGCACCAGATTTGAACCTGAGAATGTGATGCTGGTGGCTTTTCTGCCCACGACAGAGTAGGTGGAAGAGAACATGGAGTTATATATCTATATCTACCCACCGATGTTGCTGTTGTCCCAAAATTCCAAACGGGATCAGATCACCGTCTCCTTCGTGCAAAATTCTACTTAATGGAGTGGGGAGAAAGGGCTGAGAAGTTTAAGAAGAGAACTCCCAGAACGACCACCAACTGGGAGTTCTTTGGCACTGCACTATTGCGGGAACATGGGAAGATGCCGTCGTTGAAAACATTGATGAGGAATATGATCAACTGGTTCAGCATCTCCATGATTGTGTGAGGAGTGACAAGAGAGAGATAGCCACAAAAAGATGCCTGTCTTCAAAAACTCTAGAGATCATTTTCCAACGTGGCTTGGCACAAACCTCAGGCAACCGAAAGCAAACGTCCAAGCTTGCAAAGCAGTGCAGAGAAGCCATAAAGGAAGACCTCAAAGAGAGGAGTGCAGTGCTGGCAGATGTGGCAGAAGCCAGGAAAAGCATTCGCAACACCCACCTGTCCTTCGCCAACTACAAGACAAGATGACTGCCCTCCGACATCCTGTTGGATCTATCACATCTTCCAAAAGGGCAATGGAGAAGATTATTCATGACTTTGACTCGGATCTCTTCGATAGACACATCCACCTGCCCACATACTAAATTCCGCAGGATGGATATGTTGTTCCCAATGTTCTCCCTTCCGAAATCTGACATGCCATTTCATTGGTAAAGAAGCAAAAGAACCCGGCCCAAACAAGGTCAGACCCGAACACCTGAAGAAACTGCCGTCAGTACTCAATACACTGGCTCAGCTCTTCACATGCTACCTGTCTAAATGGAAGGTTCAGTCCCAATGGAAAACCAGCAGGACTATACTACTGTCCAAGGAGGGAGACATTCATGACATTGGCAACTATCGCCCAATCTTCCTGTTGTCTGTTGTCTACAAGCTGTTCACTCAGACATCCTGAATAGGACTGGCAGAACACTAGATAAAGGACAACCATGCAAGCAAGCCAGATTCTGAAAAGGATTCAGCATGATTGACCATATCCACATGATAACCAAGCTCATTGAGGTTTCTCGGGAGTTCAAGACCATATCCACATCCACATGATAACTAAGCTCACTGAGGTTTCTCAGGAGTTCAAGATGCCACCCTCTTCTAACATTCATTGATTTAAAGAAGGCCTTTGATTCTGTTGAGACTGAAGCAGTCATCGAAGCCCTAGCCAAACAGGGCGTTCAAACTCAATACATCAGTATCCTCCATGCGCTGTATTACGAATTCACTACCAGGATCTAAGCATTCTATAAAGAAAGGATCATCCATATCAAGAGAGGGGTTCATCAGGGTGATACAATTTCACTGAAACTCTTCAGTGCCACCCTCGAGAACTTCATGCGATGACTGGAATGGGAAGAAATGAGAGTGAAGATAGATGGTCGGCAACTACACCACCTCAGCTTCACTGACATCATTCTAATAACACCAAACATTAGCCAAGCGGCACAAATGCTGGCCGACTTTCACCGTGAGTGTGGAAAGGTCGAACTACAGCTGAATCTCACGAAGACAATGTTTATGCAAAACGGTCTTGTTCCTGATGTTCCTTTCACTCTCAACAGAACGAACTTCTCTGAATGCCACAGTTATGTGTACCTAGGTCGAGAAGTCAACATGACAAATGAACTGGCACCTGAGTTGCTCAGGAGGAAGAGAGCGGCTTGGAACACCTTCAAGAGCATCAAAGAAATAGCTAAGAGGACGAAGAACCTCCATCTTCGGGCACAACTCTTCGACTCCACTGTTCTTCCTGCATTAACATACGCCTCAGAGACCTGGGCCCTATGAAAACAAGATGAGAATGCTATTCGGGTCTCCCAAAGAGGAATCTAAAGAGCTGTGCTTGGAGTATCATGCTTCACTCAAATGAGAGAAAGAATCCAGAGTTCCGACCACTGCTGATGATCAAGGATCAGGGACGCTGTCTCATTTGTCAAGGCATCAAAGATCAGGTGGGATGGACATGTAATGAGATTTGGAGACGACTACTGGACTAGAGTCATTACTGACTGGATTCCACTGGACGTCAAAAATCGCGTGGCCACCCACCTACGAGATGGTCAGACTTCTGCATCAAGATCCTGAATGATCGGTTTGAGTCTCTCCGTTTTCCTAGAATGAGCAGATTCCATTGGGCTACACTAGCATTCGACAGGGATGAATGAAGACGTTATTGGTGCCTGTTCGAGCAAATAGATGAGTAATGGGATGTCAAGTGATCAAGTGATCTACTTAGCACTCAGCAATATGTCATCTACCCATGCACCATCCCTCTCCTATTCATCCATCCAAACGTCCATTCATCTAGAATGTACGTACTCCCCATCCTTCTACTATTCACCCATCAGCCACCCATCTACCTTCCAATAAACTGTCTATGCACCCAAGTGTGTATCCATACCTCATGTTCCATCCATCCACCCAACAACCATAAATCCCTAATCCATCTTTCCATCATCCATCCGTTCTACATATGTTTTTCTCTATCCATCCATCTTTAATCTTCCTTCCCACACCAACTCAATAAGCACCATCTGCCATCCAACTGATAATGGTCCAACCATTGATCCATCCATCATCCATCCACCCAATTCCTATCTATGCATCTTCAATTTATTAAAAAATTTCATCATCCATCCCTCAACAAGCCACTATTGTCTATCCATCTATACACACCTTCATTTTATTACTGTCCACCATTATTCACCTTCCTACCCAACCATTATCCATAGTCATCACTCCTTAATCCATCCAACCACCTATCCATCTACCCATCCATCCACCCCACATGCATGCATGCATGCATGCATGCCTCCATC